TCGGGACAGTAAAATCCTATGGTTGGAAACAATTGGTGACATGGCTCAAAATCGTTCTCAGTGGCGCAGATGCATCCACTCCTTGTGACTTATGATTTCCAATGAAACTGTTTTGTTCTTCGTTATTATTCCTCCTTCATCTAACACCTCTGCTCACTGTCTCTATTATGCTTTTCTTGTACTTTCTTCTCTTGCTTCGCGTGCTACACGGAGTGTGGTGACTTGAACTTCCGCACATATGTGCAAAGTTCTATGTCGAAAACAGACAGACAGACTCGGAACCCAAGTGAATAATAAAATATTATAATAAATTATTCCAGATAATGATTTGATGTACTCCATTGTCAGCTCAACCCCACTACATAAGTGAGAAAACATTCTCAATCCATAAATCACTTCAACCACAGGATTTATTTGCGTCTGTCTTCAAAGAAAAGTTAGACTTTTCACTAGAATCTACAAAAGATTGACGGTGTATCCAACCTGTGCAAAAAATTAATATTTATATAGAGTTCACATAGTATGTATGAGAATCGTGCGAGGAGAAGATGAGAGATTATGGGCGATAGTAGAGCTAGTCAGCTGAAGAGGAAAGCAGAAAATAGAAGAAAGTAGAGATGTGTTTTTGAAGCCCTATGTTCAACTCGGGATCCCAGGAAATAATAATAATAATAATCATAATATGACTTCCGTTCAAAATGGGAAGTATTGTCAAACCATCTGAGCTGGATGGTTTATTTGCGAAGCTTTCATTGCCCTACTAGGCAACATCTTCAGTGCATACTTTAATTTGTTGAAGTGAGTGAGCTTTTAGATTTATTGACGAGTTTATTAGTCATCTACCCTGGTGACTAGGTCACTTCACATTGAAGAATGCGCTGAGGATGTTGCCTAGTAGGACAATGAAAGCTTCGCATATAAACACCATCCAGCTCAGAGAACACAACTAAATCTGAACATTGTCATATTTCAATTATTCCATATAATGAGTGATGTTTGATATCCAGCAAGTTAATTGTATCCATTACAGATCAAGGATAAAAATAGGTCTTTATTTTTCCTCTATTAAATACTTAAAGTTACCAAGATTCACGCACAAGAGTCTGTGAAGATGTTGTGTTCCCTAAACTGGATTGTGTCTGCGTTAATACTTCATTGGTACGATGGACAAAATCTTTATCAAAAACACAAGAAAGCAATGAGCTGATGGTATAAGATGGTTGGAGGCAATTGGCCACAGGAAGCTTTGAACCTAGGTTTCGTGCTAGTTGGCACTCATTGGTCAGCAAGGCGTATCTGCAATCTTGAAGGAGGTCATGTCCCTTCTGCAACTCGATCCGCGTCACCCAGTGCTGCAGTCAGAGACGTTACCACTGAGCCTTGCTGAAGAGTGCCAACAAGCTCGAAACCTAGGTACAAAGCTTCCTGTGACCTATTGCCTCTAACCGTCTAATATCATCAAATCAATGTACACCGTGATAGCGAGCTACCTAGAATGGTGGCCACATTACAAACCTGACTGATAGAATTCAGTCTGCATCAAAGAAAGGACTAGACATATCACACTAGTTACTAGTGTCAAATCAAAGCAGTGAGCTATTTAAATTTTTCTGCATACGGCTTGATAGGATATATTGGTCACTTGTGATATGATCAGTCAGTCGTGACCAGTAGGGTGCAGCAGGTCGGGTGTGAGGACAAATACTCACCGAAGACATTGGCTATCGGTTGCGCTATTTCGTGAACTGGCAGAAGTTAGAATTCATGGGCCATTGCATCGGGTCCCAGTAGCTTAATGGTCTACGAGCTCACCTTGTAACCAGAAGGTCCTGGGTTTGAACCCCGATGAGTGCGTACTGATGAAGAGTCACATACAAGGACGATACTTCATGGTGTGGTTTTCCAATGGTTCTCTAACAAATGTCAACTCATGATAAAATCCTGTAACCAATCAACCAAATCCCTACAAAACAATACTTGAATTAAGTTGTTATCGTCCAGCTGGTTGCATCGTTGAGCTGACTTTTAACAGATCAATGTACAGCGCCCAGCTCCATGTTTTAAATAATTACACAGTGGAAGTGAATCAAAATAAAAAGAATAAATACTTGAACAATAAGGTGTGGTATACACTACTGATAAGAATTTGTAAGTAGTATAGTGATGGTGTCTTCTGTCAGAATCTTGAATAAGTCAGCCAAGGATTAAATAGCAAAGAGGGGAAACAATGTTATTGTGATTAATATTCCCTTGACTTCCATATGAGACATAGGGCTTCAACAGCGCATCTACATTTCATCCTCATCTCTGAGATTCTCTTTCGTCGACTCCATGATTTACCAGGAGATTTCATTTCCTCCCCACGCGATCTCCTCTATTTCATCCTCAGACTAATACCCAACTTGTCGTTTCTCATTTAGGTCCCACTCGACCGATGACCTGGAATAAGATGTCTCATACTCAATGGTTTTCTTGGTTTGCGTCCAGTCTATCTGCATTCTCTTCTGGACTTTTGTTGGGCGACAGGTTGTTGGTTGGTTTGTCGCCTGTCTGAGCTCACTGCAGCACTTTCTTCCAGCCAATCTGATCTTCAGTATAAGGTAGGTGAAGACAGCTGTTAATAAAAGTTTGGTGACGCACCGATTCTCTGATTCACATGGAAACACTGATTGATTTGACATTAGCGTTGAAAATCCAAAGCTTGTTCTTTACGTTGAGTACAGAGGATTTCCACACTCAGTTCAGATTAATGAATATGCATCTTGCCTTTCCGATGTTGATTGGTTTTAACATTTTCATCTGTGCCATCTTTAGTTGAATCGATGCTTCTAAAATGAGTAAATTTAAGTGACTTTTTTCAAGTATCTCCGAGTGCTTATGATTGGTGCTTGTTGCTGCTGTTTATTAGGCACCTTCACCACTTCTGTCTTCTTTAAGTTTACTCGAAGTCCTGTCTTTACTGGTAGCCTGTTCTGTCAACTTTTTAGTTTTTGGATGTATTATTATTATTATTGTTTCTTTCAATTCCTAGAGGAATATAAAGCTTTAGCCACACGTCTCCGGTGAGTTCGGTTCTCTGCCAACATGCTTTCATTTCCTCTTCACATTACCTCCTCCATTTCACCCTCGCACTAACGATCAACTCACCGCTTCCCATCCGGATTCCACTCGAGTGTTCGCCTGGCGTATGATTTCACTCACTTGATGGTCTCCTCAGAGTATGGCCTCCAATCCACCTATATTTCTCCCTACATATTTGTTGTACAATTAGTTCCTGGTTGATTCGCTCCCAGAGATCCTTCTCTGTTGCTGATGTTTTCAGACCGATTATCTGATATTGAGCTGTATTGAGCGAAGACTGCTTTTGATGAAGGTCTGTAGTTTGTTCGAAGTGCTCTTCGTGATGCGGCGCGGCGCCAAGTCTCCAGTCCGTATAGTAGCACTGACTTCACATTGGATTTGAAAATCCGGATTTCATTTTCATGCTGAGTGGTGTTGATCTCCACACAGACTTGAGAGCAATGAAAGCTTGCTTTGCTTTCCCGATCCTCGCCTTGATTTCCTCATCAGTTCCACCAGCCTGCAGTTGAAACGATGCTTCCCAGATAGATGGAGGAGGTGACTTCTTTCAGATTTCTCTCATTTATGCCGATTGTTGTTGCTGTTGGTCAGGAATCTTCATCACCACATCTGTTTTCTCTATGTTCACCTGAAGTCCTTTCTATCTTTGATGCTTCTTCTGTCAACTTGTTGGTTTTCACTTGTATATCCTTCAGTTTGTGGGAAATCAGGCATATATCATCATGGGTGAAGTCCAGATGTATATCTTCTATTTTGTAAGATATTAGACACACATCACCCCTGAAGTTCATACCTTCTAATGTCTTCTTGTTGACCTAACAAATTTCTGTCTCCTCACTTTCCACAATCTGTCTCATGATCCAGTCCACTGAAACTATACAGAAAGTATGAACCGAAGACAAAGGAAGCAGAATACGAAAAACTTCTGCGGAAAAAATAGAAATTTCAGTGTAGGGCATTTTATATTTTGCTCTCACTGTACCTCTTTTTGCTTAAATAGACAATTTAGTTGCTACATACCACTGTGTTCTACCACAACAAAGAAAATATGCAAATTTTTTTGTTAAAAACAATAAAGGCTGATTAAAACTGTCCTACTCTAGTTTATTTCGAGAAATATTACCTGCATTCCATATTTACCGATTTCTTAAATTCCTATTTCTCTTGATATAATAAATCGATCCAATGAGTCATAAATTCCAACCAACCACTACCTTGTGTTATCCTTGAGTAACTGACTTCATACGACCCCACTGGTCACGACTTCTCACTTCCTGTATAAACCTAGTCAACTAGTGAGCATCAAGCTGGTTGGACAGATTTGATCATGACCTTAAATCAGTTAGAAAACTATTGGAAAACTAGAGAATACTAGACAACTGTTTCGCACCTGTTTGTCACTCTTCAACCGTACACACCCACTGGAGTTCAAAACCAAGATATATTGCCGTTAGAATTCATGAACGGTTGGATTGTATCCTCAGTGTTTTGAATGATCAACGAAACTCGCCTTATACTCAGTAGGTGTTGAGTGTGAACCTCGGAAGAGTTCCATACTGGAACGAAATCGTATATAACATGATCATCTGTGTACACATATACAACCCTTACACCATTTAATACCACCAGCTTATTCATCCCAACAATAGCAAGAAACTTCAATATTTAAGGAAAAAATTATATTTTAAAAGAAAAAATATAAAAAAAAACAAAAAAATAGAATAATTACAATAAAGATAAAATAAAAGCTAACCTGAAAAATTGAAATAAAGAATAAAAAAATATATAAGTAATATATAGAAAAATGATGAACAAAATTAAGTTTAAACTAAATGAAATATAAACAAATAATCATAATGGTAAATCAATAAATAAATGGTTAAATTCTAAATCCCCACAGTTATATTTTCTTTCCTATCTCAACCATATTGACGTTTCGCATTCTCTTTATCTGCATAACTGTAATACCTTAAATTTGACTTGATTTTTAATTCATTCATATCCTCAGAGGTATAATAATAATCATTTAAATAATTTGAATTTCTAGATAAACATTTTTCATTATTGATCATTTCATTATTTTCTTTAACCTGTTCTTCTTCCTCTTGTCCTTGTTCTTTTTCTTGTAATTTACGTAATTTTTTCTCTTCAGCTAAACGTTTCACTTTTTCATGATGTTCACGTAATTTTTGCAACTTTTTTTCCCGTATATCTTGTAAACGTTTTTCACGAGCTTTTTCTCTTTCAATTAAACTTTCTTTACTATTGACAATTTTACGTTCATACAGTCTTTCACGTAAACGTTGAGGTAGTTCACCACGTGGTTGTGTTTCACCAATGTAAAAGGCTGTTATACTTCCAGTAATTTGTTGTGTATGACCTTTATCGTCTTTTGTATCACCCATTGATATTCCAATAAATTAAATAAATAAATATATAAAGTGTAAATTATTTATAAATAATGAATACTGTAAATAGAAATATTGGTATTTTTTGTTTTTGTAAAGCAATGACAAACCAGTGGATTACTTCTTAATACCTTTGTGTATTGTGTTATGTTATATCTTGCTTATTCAAATATTTATTGATCGTATTTTATTGATTTTAACAGTATTAATAACAATAATATTAATAATAGTAATGCTAACCTATTTAACTATAAAATATTAATTACTCTATACATTATGCTGGACATAAATACTAATTAGATGTAAAATATTTTTAATTATCATCATTAGAATACAATTTTTAATTAAGAATTAACTATTACTCTGGAAGGTAATCTTATTAAATTAATTGTGAACAGGTTTTAGTATAAAATGGCAAAACCTGTTGTCTAGAAGGATGAGGCAGGCTTCGTAATTAAATCAATCAGCTCAGAGTATGTGTGACTCATTCAATATCATCCACATGAGCTACAAATCTTCTCGATTATTTCAAAGTAATGTTGTTTAAGCAATCAAGAGATTTCTAGAGATGCTTTTATCAACAGATCAGTTGCTCTGAGCTTTATTTTTAAGAAAAAAATACGTATTGATCTGTGCGTCAATGGCACAGCGGTTAGGACTCTCGCCGACCATGCACATGGTGCGAGGTTCGATCCCCTGCCGACGCACACCTGATATCTATGGTCGGCCTGGAAAATTTGGGCTACCGATATCCATGCTGAAAATTTCATACTTGTACCAAAAATACAGTGTGGAATCAAGCTGTAATCAAAAATAAAAAAATATGCAGGTCGGGTTTGAGGATTAATATTCACCGAAGACATTGGCTAAGAGTAGCTGTATATCGTGAATTGGCAGAAGTTAGAATTCATGGGCTGGTCATTGGATCGGATCTCAGTGCCTTAATGGTATACGAGCTCGTCTTGTAACCAGAAGGTCCTGGATTCGAACCCTGGCGGTGGGTGCGTACTGATGATGAGTCCCAAAATAGGACTGTCAGGTTTTCCAGTGGTTCTCTAACTGACGTCAGCTTGTGATGAAATCCTGCGACCTGATATTAGTTTGTTTATTAGATGCATCACACAGTGAAACAGTATTATTTATTGATAGAGCACGAAAACTAAGCAGTATCAAGGAAAATCTAAGATAGGAAGTGAGGCATATAAGAGAAGCTTTGAAACTTAATAATTAACCCTGATAAATCAGTCAGGAAGTATGTAGGGAAATGTAAAAATAAATAATGATAGCAGTGATAGTAATAATAATAATAATATTAATAGTAATGTAAATGGCGACATGCATGTCAAACACGTGGAAGATAATGGCAACACCAACAATAAGGCATCTTTATCATCAGTAGTAATTCCATACAAGGAAGGAATCTTGGAAACCTTGCAGAGAATAAAAATGGCATTCAAGCTAGCAAAATCACTTAGAAACAAACTCTGTTATTTAAAGGATAAATCTTGTGGAGCCAATTAGACAAAACAATTTAGTTTATCTAATACCCTACCTGCAATGATTGTCAGGTCAAATACATAGGTCAAACTAGTAGAACAGGGGCAGTCAGTCAGACTAGCCGATCATGAAAACTTAGCAAAATCTACATTGACTGACCCAAATAAGATAAGAAATCTAGAGAATAGTTCAGCCATAGCACTCACTACATGCAATTACACACAACAATACAATAGGATGGATGGGATAGGATGACAGTTTTGAAATCTAATTTAACAGCTGGGTGGAGGGAGAGATTGATAACAACGGAGGCTTCGTTTATCGAATCAACTGCAAATACATGTAATAGGAATGATTCAACACCTGTCCTCCCAGATAACTGGAGCATTCTACTACCCCAACGAAGACAATTAGGAAAGAACAAAGGAAACTTTCAAGCTCAAGTTTCGAAGTCGTGTGATTATAAATGATGGCATGATTATGAACAATAAATTTTGTTTGAAACTTTGTCATCCAGTAAATACTAATACTGTTTCAGTGACTGTGTGATACATCTAATAAACAAACTAATATCGAATTATCATCTTTGGATGTCAAGCTTTTTCGTCATCATACTCTTTGGCAAAATTTATCTGCCATATGCCTCACTATTATCGTATTCATAAGAGTTATTATGAAGTCTATGCTACTGTATGGAAATAAACTGTGCAGTGTGTGTGTGTGTAGGTGACGTGTACTACTCACAATATTTATCAGTAGTATATAAAGGGACATCGCCACAAAAATATTTTCAAATCACAGAGAGATGGATTTAACGTCAAAGAGATGAAATGAACCAGTATTGTGGAAAAATGTGGGAGACACGAAGAGACGATGAAGAAAGACACAGAATAAGAAGGGCTGAATTGGCGCAACACAGGAGTACTAATATCTCATAGATGATTTCGAGAAACGAAGAATACACGAATAAGACACTTGGTTTCTTTCGACCGTTTTAAATGCATAAATGCTCAAAACGGAACTTTGCAGAAACAGACAGCCCTATCTATTCAGTACCTTACTCATATTCTGGGCTTTTTTTTTAATGGAAACTATAAGTTCCTGTCTTGAACAAATTACAAGATGAAGCCAAAAGATAACATATTTATTCTTTTGAAATTAAGTGGATCTGTAACACGAGAAACAAGAGAAAGGTCAGAGAATTTCTATTGGTCTGATGGTTGTAGATTTATGCCCTACTACATATTTCTAATTCAATAATCAAATCAAATAACCAATAATTGTTGAAGACATTGCCTTCTAGTCACTCTATGTTGTGAATTGACAGAAGTTAGAATTCATAGACGATTGAATCAGATCTTAGTGGCTTAATGGTCTACCAGCTCGTCTTGTAACCGAAAGGTTTTGGGTTCAAACCTCGATGGGTGCGTATTGATATATAGTCCTAAACTAAGACGAAACAGGCGTCCCTGTTAGTTTTCCAATGGGTTATCTAACTGTTATCAGCTCATGATTAAGTCCTGTAACCAATCAATAATCAAATATATGAACAGATAAAAGGAACAACAATAGGATCACCGAAATCAGGATTATTAACGGAAGCTGTTTACGCTAAGATTAGAATTGATAGCTCTACTCATAATTAAATAAAAAATCTGACTACTTTATGTTGATGATACATTCGTAATAATTAAAATAAACGAGTAAAGTAAGAACAACAGTTTGTGCATTAATAAAATGGTACCATCATTATTTATGTCGTTGGCTTCTCATCAGCTGCTTGCAACCTAAATTTACTATTTACTTTATCTATAGAAACGACTTTAACATATTTGCAATTTGCACGTGATGTCAGCTGATAAAGAGTCCATGTTTAAACAAAAAAAAACCAATGTATACGTAAGTAATAAAGATAAGAGGTGAGTAAGCTAATGTGTAACTAATAAATTGATTAACAGTATAGTGAGTCCGACTCAAATCATACAAACCAGAGGCAAGCAATATTACACTATAGCGAAAAGGAAGAGGTTAAAACTTAAGATTTCGTGATCAAATAACAGAGCAAGAGAGAGATAGAGAGTAAAGATACCTAGTAGCCAGGGTGAGGAAAGACTGATAACCACATTTTTGGAAACATGTAAGTCAGGTCCCAGGTGTTTGATACCGACTGCTTCGGGAAACATAAAGAGACTTGAACTATTTTGTCTATTAATGATTTCAAAAGATCCAGTGATGTCCACTGCATGACGAGTGTCGATGAAATGGCTGTAAATGGAACTACTGCTTCCTTGAGACGTAATCTTTTTGGTTCATGTTTAGCAAATTGGAATTGTGCCATTCTTTCTTGTAAAACGTGGTCCAGGACACTATCCAGCATGGTTAGCAAAGGGTGAACTCAAGGAGGCATAAAGTTCAGTAACAGAATATCTGGTGAATTCAGAACATTCAACTCCATTTGAGAAGTCCTTGAATGTAATATACAAGATCCGATCAAACCTATCAAAGGGAGTGAAATCAAGGCATCTACAAACCAATACTTGGAAATAAATGAGATGCTCAGTAGCGACTGAACCTATTCAGGTAGGTAGTAGTTACCTGGATTTTAGTGGGAAGTCGTGACCAGTAGGGTGCAGCAGGTCGGGTGTGAAGACAAATACTCACCGAAGATAATGGCTACCGGTCGCGCTAACTCGTGAATTGGCAGAAGTTGGAATTCATGGACTGGCCATTGGAAAGTTTCCCAGCGGCTTATTGGTCTATGAGTCAGCTCGCCTTCTAACCAGAGAGTCCTAGGTTCGAACCCCAGTGGGGTGGGTGGCCTACTGCAGAAGTGTTCCAAACTAGGATGTGACAGCTGTCCAGTACTCCCTGTTGGTTTTCCAATGGTTCTCTAACTGATGCCAGCTGATGGTGAAATCCTGTAACCATCTAGGAATAGTGGAGGCACTGGTGATCCTAAAGCTCAAACCCACGCTATGTGTTCAAACAAAATACGTCCCACCAGTATCCCTATTGAGGCCATCATGAGAAGTCAGTCCCATCAATAATGATTATGCTAAAAACTTTCGTATCCAACCTTCCTTTTTATTTCTGTTATTTTTACGTTTTTCTAATTCCTATCTGCACTATAAGATTTGTTTATTTTTCCATATATCCTAACTTCCTACTCATCTTGTTATTACCACGTCGTTAATCCGGGATTGCACAAACAGTCAAGTTTTTTATTAGTTCTGATCTCATTATGTCTTTTCTACCCGATCTTCCTGAATATTACACTTTGCAATTTTATGAATTTGACCTTTGAGCGGAAATAATTCTGGAAATTTCACACACACTTACTATAAACACACGAATGTACAGCCTAGTTGATGATTTCGTCGAAAAGAAAATTTTCTTCGTTGTAACCGTCTTTTTAATAAACTCAAATCGTAATGCCAACATGAAAGTATCCTCAAAGATCACAAGAAAATTCTTCCTACCATTTATATAAATAATATCTG